ATATTTAAAGTAGATTTTAGTAGTTTTTAGAGTAAATTTTAGTTATTTTAGAATAAAATTAAATTTTCTTCCTTGCTTGTTTTTGAATTTTCAGATTTAAACACATTATTTTCAAAATTTTAAGTGTTTATTTGTCAATTTGTAAAGCCTGCTAACTTGAGAGTCACAAAGAATTAATGTTCTCGAGTTACGGTATTTATGGGATTTGCGTGAATATGTTTACAAATGATATGTTTGAGAAATAATTAGATTATCAAAATTTACTTTATTAAGTATTTGTCTTACCATGAGAAATAATTAGATTATCAAAATTTACTTCATTAAGTATTTGTCTTACATCTTTGGTATAAAAAAATTTATATATTTTTAGTATACAAACTTTAGAACACATCTTAGAAGAACTCCTAAAACTTAAACATTTTAGAACACATGTTTAGAACTTTTAAACTTAAAAACTTTAAAGTGCACTTTTACAACTCTTAAAACTTATAAACTTTAGAACATGAATTCTTTAAAATAATTAGAAAACTTATTACTTACTAAATACCTTACTCATCTTACTTATTAACTAATTTGTTTAAAATATTTATCAAAGATTTAGATATTTCCATTTTTTCGTTATGCATTTTCAAACGCTCACGTCTTTCTTCTTCGTATTTCGCTTCTCGACTTTGTTGACGAATTTGATTATCCTCGATCTGTTGTTTTTTTACAATCTCTCTTTCCTCACGAATATTGACTATGAAATTTTCTAATATGCTCTCGACCTTTCTCTTCCTAGTTGAATCTAATATGGTTAATTATAGAAAATAATGTTAAATAAGAGTATATCCTAATATTATGGCCACAATATACATATGTAATTATGAAAAATAAATAATTATTTGATTAAACATATAATAATACAAATGGAAACACTTTATTTACACATTATAGACCTACAGTAATTATGATTTCAGATTTTCTATTAATTTTTTATAAGCTTTGCAATAATGATAAACGAAGTTCAATTTCATGTGAATTTTAAAAATACTTACTTTGAACTTCAGGAGTTGAAGTTGAAGTGTATATATTCGAAGTCGATGGTGTCGGTGGTAGTGGACCATCGCTGCATGCCTCAACAGGCGGTTTCGTGGATGCTTTTTTTCCAAATATTGAATCCATTATCTATTAAAATAAACAAACTATTTTATTATATTTTCGTTGCTTTTGAATTACCGAAAAATTGCTAATTACAGAATAGAATTCCCACGAATTTCGACCATTGCCACTTTTTTTATTTTGGTCGATAATATTTCGATATGTTCGCTTTAATCCAGATAATTTATTAGAACATTGTTGCCCCGTCACATTGTAAATGTTACTTGTTTCCCTCATTGATGCAGCAATCTCTTTCCACAAAATATTATGTTTTTTAAATGAGGTATTAAACATTTCTTCCTTTTCTTGGTATAATTCTAGCAGAAGATACACCGCATTATCTGGCCACATAAAATTCTTTGCAGCATCTGAAAATATCATTAAATTATTGGGATCAGTGCAATTATAGAATTCTTTTTCGCATGCCATACGCTTGTCAGTGCGTAGGCGGTCTCTTCTGCATATATCCGTAGATATATGAGATATACAATAGATATTTTTTAAAAACAAAATTTATGAGAAGATACTTAAAAAAACAAAAACAAAAAATATATATTTAAAAAAAAACAAACCTATATCTTTCAAATTGTTATCCATGATTTTATTTGGTAAGTCAGTAAGTATGGTTTCAATTGTTGGGCTGTTAGCAGGCAATTCAGTTCCTGCATTTTTATTTAATGTTTTGTTGATTAACTGTTGCAGGAAGTTTTGATCTGTATTGAAATGATATATTAATTTAATTAATATTGATTAATTTCTAATTAAAATTACGATTACGATTAGTAAAACATAACCTTCAAGTTTCAATATTAACCTTTTGTTGCTTTTTCGACAGTTTCTTTGTTCACAAATAGCGTTATGATCTCGTCGTTTAACAACACCGGAAATTCCACGAGATCTCCCATTTTTATTATTTAACTTGGAGATAAGCGTTTTACACATCAAACGTGATTAAACGTGTTATCGTTTAGAAATTTCAAAATATACAGCATGTACGCAGGCGCGCATAGCCAGCGCATCAGTTACTCGAAGTTTTACTTCGAGTAGCTAATGCGCTCCTCATGCGCTAATGGTGGGGGGAATCTGGGAAATTCCATGCGGTACCAATGCGCGCATTACATGAAACGGAACAATTGTCTATGCAATCTATGCGTATCATGCGAGAAACGGAACGCACCCTATATAAACTAAGCCAATGGTAGGCGCGATATATAAAATTAATATTAGTTACTCTAATATCCGCGAAGCACAGACTCAAATTACGTGAATTGGATATATATGTATATATTTTATAATAAATCATACATTAATTGGACAATTAATAATTGGGTTCATGCGAATACAGATTTACTTTTAGTAAGTTAATTAGGAAAACTTATGAATTTACAAGTTAGGATCTATAATTAATTCTAGATTTAGAAATTGGATTAACACTTCTAGATTTGGAATTAGAATTAGTATTTCCGAATTTAAGAACTTAGGTAAAGAGAATTATATTTGAACTTAGAATTATGTTGCGCACGCGGTGCTTAATTTAGAGCGGCAATACGGTTGGTCAGTGGAAGGAGCCGATATTTCCGTGACCGCTCTGAACGACGCGCACTCATACTCCGCCCATCTCCTGCATTTTGCCTATGGGCGTTCCTAAAATCTCCCTCCATTGACCGCGCCGTCTGCTATACGTGTCGAGGAGGCGCGTCAGGTACGTCTCTAGAGATTTGATATTCCAAGTCTGTTTAAAAAGAATTACTGGATAAAAATGAAATTTTACGGACGTGACAATAGACCACTGCGCGACGTCGACATTCGCTACAGTCCTTTATCTTCGGTGCCGGACCATCGATGTGCGTCCGCTGCCACGGCTGATTGTAGTGCTTGCCGCAGCGACGATACGTTCGAATCTCCGAATCCGCCTTCACGTGTTCAGGAAGCTTGACCCACACGTGGTCGATATAGCCGTACACGCGTAACAGTACGATCTTCGGTATATACTGCAACTGCTCGGCGCTCAAATCCAAAATGTCGGAAGCGTGAAAATGTATGACACAGCGTGAGATACATTTTATTACTGCGCGACTCGCGGATTTGCACGCCTTTAAATAGGCGGTCGAGAGCGCACAGCCCGTAGTGCGAGCATGAAATTCGTGCTGCAACCGCTGGCGTTACACGTCACGAACTGTGACGCGAAATCGCGAATAATGGGAAGCCGTATGGAGAAGCGCAAGCACGGCAAAATACTGCCGAGTACTATACGCGCGATCATTTGCGGCCTGTCAAGTTGTGGTAAAACCAACGTTCTCATGAGCTTACTCGAACGGCGTACGTTTCGAGAACGTGTATGTCTACTCGAAATCGTTATAACATCAATATTTTGAAAATTTGTTTACGTCTATCGACGAAATCGGTTACTTTACGTTCTCCAACAACAGCGACGTCGTTCCACCGAGCGAGGCGCGTCCAAACGGTACCAACTTGAAACACGTTTACAACGATCACGTGAATACCGACATGTCGTACGACGAATTTTGTGCGTTGTGCCGCGATTGTTGGCAATAAAAATATGGATTCGTAGTGATAGACAAAGACAGTGCGCTCACAAATGGACGATACAGAAAAGGATTTAACGAGTTCGCGATACCATAACGTAACCAGTCGTTGTCGATACTTTGCCAGAGACAAACATGGCTGATGTGCGCGAGCGTGAAAAAATCGCGAGGGAGATCGAGAAGACGAGCGAGTCGATCCGCAAGAAACATCACGCTCTGAAGACCAGTAGAATCGAGGAGGGCATCGCGTTGGACAGACATTTTAAACCTCTTATCGAGTCGCTGCGACTTTTCGTCGATAACCCCGGCGGGCGTGCGACAAAGAGAGAGTCGCGCGACGAAGATGCCGCGTCTACCCCTAAACGTGAGAGGAAGGAGGAGGAACAAGAGGAGGGAGAAAAAGCGAGCGAAACGTTCGAGCGTTCCGCGACTCTGCGTAAATCCGATGATCGGTCGCACGAACCGATAACCTCCACCCCGCGTGCCAAAATCGTACCAACGATAGAGTCGTTGGAAAACGTTTTCGAAACGACGGAAGACTCGCTAGCGACGAAGATTCAAAATCAGCTGCAAACGTCGAAAGCTCGAGAGGTGTTATGAGCCAGCTTGGGCGCGCTGGATCAAAAGTACGTCGAGGCTGTCCTGAAGGGAGCGCAAGATAAAGAGAGCGGTATAGATCACGTGTACGGCGTTTACCTACACAAGGATGGATTGATGTAGGGCAATAAATGTTTCGACGTAGATGACGCGGACAACATAATTATCGACGGCGTACGATACGTCGGTACACTCGGTCTTTACGAGTTGATTTTCAAGAGAATTTCCGACGATGCCCTCTACACGGAAGACGATATGCACAAATACAAGAGCATGCTGTTGGTGACGAACGCGCACAAGCACAAACATCATTCGCAGAGTCGATTATTAAGCAACAGAGGATAGTACTAACAGTACTAACACGTAATCGCGCCATTGATGTCGATTACACCCAAGAAGTAGAAGAAGAAATTTGGAAAGGGATTATCTCACGCAATGACACTGAACGACAACGCGATCGATTACGTGCACTGGGATGATTCCAATGAGCTGGTGGATCGTCTACGATTACTCGACGCTTCGCACCGAGCGGGCAACAACGCTCACGACAACGAGATGCTGTCGATCATCGAGGAACTTCGTGAAGCAGGTCTTATTATAAATTAAATCGCGTATCAATGAAACGAGTCAGTCGAGTGACGTCAGCGAGAAAAAATACATTTTTTTTCTTGTATCCTGTGTATTACGCACGAATCATGAAAAAGAGATCCGACAAAAAGAAAAAAGTTAGCTCCGAGAGACGTCGGCTCATCGACGAATTGCACGCTCCGGCGAGAAGAAATTTTCCGCGAAGGCGCGTCATAGTCCGGGGATACGACGATCTGTGGCAGGCTGATATCGTTGAGATGCGCTCGTACTCGAGCTTCAACAGAGGCCACCACTACATACTCACCGTTATCGATTAAATTGTAAATAAAAATTACACTAATAACTATAATATATATATATATTTTATATAGGAAAAATTATGGGAGAAAGTAATGTCTGCCTTAAATTCTGCAGGTTGTGGTCCGCAAAAGCAACCAAAGGAATGGGCAAAGGTAAAGTTACATCAATAATAATTTTTTCTTTAACAAAATTATTTCCGAGCTGTGAGGCCGTATATATATAATTTAAAGGAATTCCTTCCTCATTCAGATATTTCGTCTGCAATCGTGACGAACGTCTTCAGTGGCAAACGGAACGTGGTTGAAATTTTCTTCTCTGTGTCTTAGTTTTGACTGAGTCAATGTCCCGTTTGTCCATTAAGATGTCTGCTGCAAATGAAATATCTAGAAGAAGAAGGAATTCCTCTGTGCCACTGTCTCATAGTCTGGAAATAGTTTCTCCTAATTATGATGCCGATCGTGAAAGCCTTTACAGTCATTAATTCTTTCTTTATTACAGACATGGCGTGATTGGAAGTCCAACTTACTAAAAAGAGTAGCCACATACAAAAGTTATGCAGCAGGAACTGGAGGAGGACAACCAAAAATTTTGGATACAAGCCCAGCTGAAGATGACTTACTTGAATTTTTAACACCCGAGGCCAGTGGAATGTCTAATATTCCCGAAGGAGGTGCTATTAGCGATGTTACTGATCTGACCATTGAAAGAGTTTTGACACCGCAGAAATGGCAGAATCCTTCTACTTTGCATCTACCGATTTGTACTGATCTGACCGCTGAAAGAGTTTCGTCGCAAAAACTGGAAAATCCTTCTACTTTGCAAATCACGAAGTTTTCGATCTCTCCAAATTTGCATACTGAGAAGATTATCAGACAGGCGACTTCGTGCTTTCAAGGACTTGAAGTAATTGTTGTCTTATTATACTTTAAAATTTTAATAATTATTTATTCATATTCTATTAAAATTTTCAGGAACATTCCTTCCACAGCGACGTAACAAACAATGATACAGAGAATTTTCCAATAAGTGTAAGTGATATATAATTTCTTTTGCATGTGATGTATTTATTTTTTTTAACGTAATATATATTTATAATAAAGATACTTTTCATTTCAGATATCCTCTAATGTACTTCGTTCAATAGAAAATGAACAAGAACAGATTCCAAAACAAGTACATTGCATCAAGTCTAGTCCAATCTCAATCAAAAATATCAAGAGACATTCTGATGATGCAGATAATTAAAACGTTTTCTCTCTTGTGTTATATTTACAATATTTAATTTTATTTTATCTGATCTTTCTATTATTAATAGAAACTAATCATAATATTATTGAACTAATTTCTTTAGATACCTCTAACAAAAAAATAAAGCAAAACGTAAAACATTTATTCGAACAACATACACCAGACTACTGCAATCTTCAGGAACGAATGTTGCAATTAAAACAGGAAAAGTTAGCCATACTAAAAGAAAGGTTAGAATTGAAAAAAAAAGATCACGAAGATCATACCAGGTTTTTTAAATCATTTCTTGAAAAGATGGATGAACTAATGAACATTGTTCGATCAATCGGTCCGCAATATTTGGAAGACTGAAGAGAAAGAGTTGTCTTTTTATTATAAACATTATTTACATAAGTTCGCAATATTTAGAAGACTGAAAAGGAAGTTATTTTTTTTTATAAACATTATTTACATAAGTTCGCAAAGTGACCTTAAAGACTGAAAAGAAAGTTGTGACGAATTTAGTTTAGAAAAAAGTATATTTTATTATAAAAACATTGTTAACGTATTATTAACATAAACATGTTATATTTTATGAACATATTTTATTAAAAATATATTTTATTAAAAATTCATTATCTCAAAATATTTTTCCTCACAATAGCATTTACAAATATTTTTTTAAAATTGATCTGTGCAAACACATACGTTCAACAGACAAAGCAATAATTCTTTATTATAATTAGTTTTTACTTAAATTCAGAGAATTAATGAAAGAATCAATCATATTAAAAATTCACTGAGAGCTCACTTATCTGCTTAGTCTGTTGAACATAGCTATTTTCAAAATACAATTAAAAACTCATGTAAAAAAATGTTAAATCTTAAAAGTTGAGTCAATTTGAGAAATACCATTCGATCACACGATTTCGGGTTTGTTCTCCACGTTCTTCGTTAATATCATGATATGGTATCGGTGATATATCTAATTCATCCAGATGTATTTCATCACAAGGAATCCCCCATTTGATCGCCATATTATGGAGAACGCAACAAGCATTAACAATAAGAGCTGTATGATAAAAATATTTCACTGACACTTATGTATTGCAAGAAATAGTGAAATAATTAAGTAGTCACTTTAAATGTGTTCGATTTGTTGGTAAGTGATCTAAGAAAAAAGTCTCCGATTGCAAAGATTTAAAAGAAATGAAAGAGTATATAAACCTGCGAATTGTGGACGATAATGTAAAGCTCGTTCCTTCCAACGCCAATGACCTTTTAAAATGCCGAAACAACACTCTATAGCCACACGAGTCCGAACATGATGATCTGTGTATCTTGCACCTGGAGTTCCTTCTTCTTCATTTAATTTTGGCGTCAATAGAAAAGGTAGAAGGGGGTATGCAGAATCACCTAAATGTATAATATTAGTTTTAACGCTGCCAATTTTTTTATTAAATCCATGCAAAATTAAAACAGAAAATTATAAATATAAAGGAGTTAAAGTTCAGAAATCATGGATGTAGAGTCCTATGTATCAATATTACTACATACCATATATCTGTATGTAAATACGTAAGTCATTCTTTACCTAGAAGCCAGCAATTATCTATTTCACCCTGTCTGTGTCTCTATTCTAAATGAGCAAAGAGTCTCGATGACCGTAATACTCGAGCATCATGTGTTCGGCCACCATGGGCACTATTTACAGCGAGAATTTCGCAGTTGGAATCACAAATCTGAAATCACATGTATTTAATAATTTATTATTATTCCAATCGACATAGCATCAGTTACGTTACATCTATGTTAAAATCTCCACTGAACAATATAAGTTTTAACTGTATATATATATATATTATTATTAATACTGTTTATTTTCTACCCATATTTTACATTATGCTTATATACTTACGACCAAAACATTTAACGAATGGTATAATTTTCTATTTATAAATAAATATTCCCTTTCAGCCTCCGGTGGAAAAATGGCTACAAGTGTCCCATCGATTGCTCCAATTACTCCAGGAAAACCACCGTTTCTGAAAAATCTAAAAGTATAAAGTTATTATGTAATATATTTTTATATAATCAAAGTATGTAGTAATTGCAATTGCTGTTTAGTAGCGTGGTAAAAAATGTTTCATGTAAGAACATATACAAATATGTACATAACGTAAACTATAGATTTTTAATGCGAAATGAAATTTGGAACAGTCTTATATATTGAATTAATATTATATAAAATAAATTGTAAATTTATAATATCATACATGAACTTGATTAACATTTAATATTTATTCCATCTATATATATATATA